CTTAGGATGCCTCCTGGATGCCTCCCTGGTGAGGTATTCCGGTCATGTCCCACTGGGAGGAGAGCCCGGGGAAGACCCAGGACACGCTGGAGGGACTATGTCTCTCAGCTGGCCTGGGAGCGCCTCGGGATCCCCCCAGAGGAGCTGGAGGAAGTGGCCGGGGAGAGGGAAGTCTGGGTTTCCCTGCTGAGACTGCTGCCCCCGCGACCCGACCTCGGATAAGCGGGAGAAAATGGATTGATGGATGGGACATTAATAAAATACATGTAATGTATTTTTATTCTATTAAAGTTTAACGGCAACCATTAACACCCCCAAACCATATGTCCCCCTATCGGCAACACATGGCATAAGCATGTATGGTACCATTTGGCCAAAACTTTGGGTTACTTGACGTAATCCCTGGTTCTTTGATAACAGAGTGACGTGTTTCACTATGGGAATCACTTTGGGCGTGATGAACTACGGAAGCGCCAATGACACCACGTCCGTCTGTGATGGACAGGTCGACCTGCGACCAGGCTCTGCCCCTGCCCCATTAATGCGGTCGGCCTCCCTGACGGCTCATTCTAAAAGGATTTCTTCCCGTGCCTGCGCAAGACAGGAAGTGATGGTGAAACACCTCACTCTGTTTTCAAAGAACCAGGGATTATGTCAAGTAACCCAAAGTTCTTTTTCTAACTTTGCTCGGTGTTTCACTATGGGAGATATGGACCGCTCCCGGATTGCGCCGCAATCTCCCCAGACTGCAAACTATAAAGACGCGTAGAAAGATCAGTTCTGCAGCGTTAGCCTCCAGCCCCGCATGTGCCACGGAGGGTCCTGAGACATCCAGCCTGTAAAAACACACAAACGTGTGTGGTGTAGCCCAGCTTGCCACATGACAAATATCCTGGACTGACACCCCTTTGAACAAGGCCCAAGATGTGGCTATGTTTCTGGTAGAATGGGCCCTTAAACCCTCGGGAGGCTGAGAGCCCCTACATATATAAGCTAAATAAATAGCCTGTACAATCCAATGAGAGAGCCTCTGGCGAGACAGCGGCTTGCCCCTCCGGGGGGGAGCCCAGGACTCAAACAACTGATCGTGCTTCCTGAAGCCTGCTGTCCTGTTTATATACACATGTAGGGCCCAAACTGGACACAATGTGTTTAGCTTCTGTTCCTCAGCAGAGGAAAAAGGAGGGGGGTGGAGGGCTGTCGAGTCCACAACCTTAGGCACAAAAGCAGGATTAGGACGCAGGCACACTTTGGTAAGTCCCGGACCAAACTGCAAACAAGAAGAGCGGACAGATAGGGCCTGCAGATTGCTCACTCGCTTTGCTGTAGTCAGAGCTAAAAGCAGCACTGTCTTAAGAGAGAGATATTTGAACCCCACCCGGTCCAAATGCTCAAAAGGGTGATGAGACATGGCGCCCAGCACCAGAGACAGATCCCACAATGGGACTGACGGCTTGGAAACCGGGTGTTTCCGGCGGGCACCCTTCATGAAATGGCAGATCAGGGGGTGCTGTCCAGCCGGCTTCTCACCAAAGCCCACGTGACAGGCTGAAATCGCAGCCAGATACACTTTAACTGTGGAGAAGGCTTTCCCTTTTTCCAACAAATCCTGCAGAAAACAGAGGATTTCCACCACTGAACACTGAAAAGGAACAGTCGGCCTCAGCCCACACCAATCCTGCTGTAAAGCAAGCGAGTGGAAAAAGCCCTGGCACTCTGTATAGTGTCGATGACCGGTGGGGGCAGCCCTGCAGTGTTCAGGTTCCAGCGCTCACGGGCTAAGCCCAAAGAGCTATGTTGTCCAGGTGGGGATGGTAGATTTCCCCTCTCGCCTGTGACAGGAGATCCCGGCGTGGTGGGAGGGGCCACGGCTGACCCTTCAGCAGTTGAACTATCTCTGCCACCCAGTGTCTGGATGGCCAGAATCAATGACAGACCCTGCTCCCTTACCCTGGCTAATGTGGAGGAAATTAGACTCAGGGGAGGGAACGCATAGAGAAGGATGTTTGGCCAAGTGTGGGCTAGAGCATCCACACCCAATGGTGCATTAGCCCCAGCAGACGCAGGCAGAGTCTGTACGAAACCACTTTCCCTAACTGAAAGCAGCCGAGACATTGCATAAAAGACACTATCCTCCTCTCTGCAAACGTAACCCGATACGAGAAGAAGTCTATTCGGAGGCCCAAATATTCCGTGAGCTGCGAGGGGGTCAGACGGCTCTTTTCCATATTGATCCTGAAAACCAGATCCCTGAAATGAGTGACAACTATTTCGGAATCTGTGATCGCTTGCTCCTTTGAACGGGAGCATATTAAATAGTTGTCTATGTAGGACAATATCCTGACGCCGTTGTTTCTCAGTGGTGCCAGAGCCGCATCCACACACTTGCTGAACACCCTTGGAGCTAGCGACAATCCGAATGGGATCGACTGATACTCGTAGGCTGTGCCTCGGTATGCGAACCTGAGGAACTTCCTGTGTGCGGGATAAATATCTATGTGAAAATAGGCATCTGACAGATCGATCATCATGAACCAATCGCCTGGACGAATCGACTGACAGAGGATTCTGCGTGTCAACATCCTGAAAGTGTACTTTCGGAGGTGACTGTTCAACACACGGAGGTCCAAGATAGGGCGAAGGGAAGAGCCCTCTTTTTTTGTAATGACAAAGTAACGGGAATAAAAACCCTGTCGGCTTTCCCTTTCTGGGACAACTCTGATCGCTCGCTTGCGTAGCAAAGATGCGATCTCGTCCTCTAGGACCTGAGCTGAATTGCCGTCGGCTACTGAAACTAACACACCGTTGAACCTGGGTGGCCTCATAGCAAACTGTAGCCTGTAACCTCGAGAAATTGTGGACAAAACCCATGGGTGCGCCACACATAAACGCCACTTCATTACCTGAGCAGACAGCAGCCCCTTGAAAAGTTCTGCATCTGCGACGCCTGGTGATGATGTCACCACCACCCCGGGGGGGAGATAAACTCCAGATAGAGGAGCAAGAGCTCCCCCTGGTGATGGAGTTCGGGAAAGATTTTTTTATATCTTTTTTTCTGAACAGTGGGGAGCAAGTCGCCCTCGGCCTTTGGCCTGGCGAGAAGGGTCTGGCTGCAGACACTGTGGAGCTCCACAGTAAGCGGAAACACGTGACCTCCACAGTAGGCGGAAACACGTCACCGCCACAGTAGGCAGAAACACGTGGAGCTCCACAGTAAGCGGAAACACGTGACTTCAAATTTGAACACAGTTACGTCGCACGAGAAATGTTTTTGTGT